TGAGTGTAGGGGAGGTGCGTGAGGCAGTGCGAATGCGGGGAGAGTGCGTGAGGCAGTGTGAGTGTGAGGGAGGTGCGCGGGGCAGTGTGAGCGTGAGGGAGGTGCTTGAGGCAGTGTGAGTGTGGGGGAGGTGCGAGAGGCAGAGTGAGTGTGAGGCAGGTGCGAAAGGCAGTGTGAATGTGAGAAAGGTGCGCGAGGCAGTGTGAGTGTGGGGGGAGGTGCGTCTGGCAGTGTGAGTGTGGGAGAGGTGCGTGAGGCAGTGTGAGTGTGGGGGAGGTGTGTGAGGCAGTGTGAGTGTGAGGGAGGTGCGTGAGGCAGTGTGAGTGTGGGGAAGGTGCGAGAGGCAGTGTGAGTGTGAGGGAGGTGAGTGAGGCAGTGTGAGTGTGAGGGAGGTGCGTGACGCAGTGTGAGTGTGGGGGAGGTGCGTGAGGCAGTGTGAGTGTGGGGGAGGTGCGTGAGGCAGTGTGAGTGTGGGGGGGTGTGTGAGGCAGTGTGAGTGTGAGGGAGGTGCGTCCGGCAGTGTGAGTGTGGGGAAGGTGCGAGAGGCAGTGTGAGTGTGAGGGAGGTGAGTGAGGCAGTGTGAGTGTGAGGGAGGTGCGTGACGCAGTGTGAGTGTGGGGGAGGTGCGTGAGGCAGTGTGAGTGTGGGGGAGGTGCGTGAAGCAATGTGAGTTGGGGGGAGGTGCGTGAGGCAGTGTGAGTGTGGGAGAAGTGGGTGAGGGGAGTGTGTGTGTGGGGGAGGTGGGTGAGGCAGTGTGAGTTTGGGGGAGGTGCGTGAGGCAGTGCGAGTGTGAGGGAGATGCGTGAGGCAGTGTGAGTGTGAGGAAGGTGCGTGAGGCAGTGTGAGTGTGGGGGTGATGCGTGAGGCAGTGTGAGTGTGGGGTAGGTGCGTGAGGCAGCGTGAGTGTGAGGGAGGGCGTGGGGCAGTGTGAGTGCGAGGGAGGTGCGTGAGGCAGTGTGTTTGTGGGGGAGGTGCGTGAGGCAGTGTGAGTGTGAGGGAGGTGCGTGAGGCAGTGTGAGCGTGTGGGGTGAGGTGCGTGAGGCAGTTGTGAGTGGGGGGGAGGTGCGTGAGGCAGTTTGAGTGTGGGAGAGGTGGAGTGAGGCAGTGTGAGTGTGAGGGAGGTGCGTGAGGCAGTGTGAGTGTGGGGGAGGTGCGGGAGGCAGTGTGAGTGTGGTGGAGGTGCGTGAAGCAATGTGAGTGGGGGGGGAGGTGAGTGAGGCAGTGTGAGTGTGAGGGAGGTGCGTGAGGCAGTGTGAGTGTGAGGGAGATGCGTGAGGCAGTGTGAGTGTGAGGGAGGTGCGTGAGGCAGTGTGAGTGTGGGAGAGGTGAGTGAGGCAGTGTGAGTGTGAGGGAGGTGCGTGAGGCAGTGTGAGTGTGGGGGAGGTGCGGGAGGCAGTGTGAGTGTGGTGGAGGTGCGTGAAGCAATGTGAGTGTGGGGGAGGTGCGTAAGGCAGTGTGAGTGTGGGAGAGGTGGGTGAGGCAGTGTGAGTGTGGGGGAGGTGGGTGAGGCAGTGTGAGTTTGGGGGAGGTGCGTGAGACAGTGTGAGTGTGAGGGAGGTGCGTGAGGCAGTGTGAGTGTGAGGGAGGTGCGTGAGGCAGTGTGAGTGTGGGGGAGGTGCGTGAGGCAGTGTGAGTGTGGGGTAGGTGCGTGAGACAGTGTGAGTGTGAGGGAGGTGCGTGGGGCACTGTGAGTGCGAGGGAGGTGCGTGAAGCAGCGTGTTTGTGGGGGAGGTGCGTGAGGCAGTGTGAGTGTGAGGGAGGTGCGTTGAGGCAGTGTGAGCGTGGGGTGAGGTGCCCTAGGCAGTGTGAGTGTGAGGGAGGTGCGTGAGGCAGTGTGAGTGTTGGGGAGGTGCGTGAGGTAGTGCGAGTGTGAGGGAGGTGCGTGAGGCAGTGTGAGTGTAGGGGAGGTGTGTGAGGCAGTGCGAATGCGGGGAGAGTGCGTGAGGCAGTGTGAGTGTGAGGGAGGTGCGCGGGGCAGTGTGAGTGTGAGGGAGGTGCGTGAGGCAGTGTGAGTGTGGGTCAGGTGCGTGAAGTTTTGTGAGCGTGTGGAGGGTGCGTGAGGCAGTGTGAGTGTGAAGGAGGTGCGCGAGGCAGTGTGAGTGAGGTGTGAGAGGCAGTGTGAGTGTGTGGGGAGGTGCGCGAGGCTGTGTGAGTGTGGGGGAGGGTGCGTGAGACAGTGTGAGTGTGATAGAGGTGCGTGAGGCAGTGTGAGTGTGGGGGAGGCGCCTGAGGCTGTGGGACGAAGGGATGTGGGTAGAAAGGCTGTGATTGATGGGATAAAGATAGAAATGTTAAAAGCAGGTGGGGATATAGTTTTGGAGAGGTTGGTGCAATTATTTAATAAATGTATGGAAGAGGGTAAGGTACCTAGGGACTGGCAGAGAGCATGCATAGTTCCTTTGTATAAAGGCAAAGGGGATAAAAGAGAGTGCAAAAATTATAGGGGGATAAGTCTGTTGAGTATACCTGGTAAAGTGTATGGTAGAGTTATTATTGAAAGAATTAAGAGTAAGACGGAGAATAGGATAGCAGATGAACAAGGAGGCTTTAGGAAAGGTAGGGGGTGTGTAGACCAGGTGTTTACAGTGAAACATATAAGTGAACAGTATTTAGATAAGGCTAAAGAGGTCTTTGTGGCATTTATGGATTTGGAAAAGGCGTATGACAGGGTAGATAGGTGGATAATGTGGCAGCAGTGAAGAGTTTTTAAAAGGTTTTTGATGCTCAGGTTAGGATATGTAGGAGACAATGAAATTATTTCCCAATAAAAGTAGGCCTTAGAAAGGGATGTGTGATGTCACTGTGGTTGTTCAATATATCTATAGATGGGTTTATAAGAGAAGTGAATGTTCGGGTGTTAGCAAGAGGTGTGGGGTTAAAAGATAAAGAATCTAACATAAAGTGGGAGTTGTTACAGTTGCTCTTTGCTGATGACTCTGTGCTCTTGGGAGATTCTTAAGAGAAGTTGCAGAGGTTGGTGGACGAGTTTGGTAGAGTATGTAAAAGAAGAAAATTAAAAGTGAACATAGTAAAGAGTGAGATGATGAGGACAACAAAAATATCAGGCAATTGGATGTCAGATTGGAGGGAGGAAGTATGAAGGAAGTGAACCTCTGGTAAGACAGCGATGGAATGAGTGATGATGAAAGCGTTTTTTTTGGGGGGGTCACTCTGCTTTGGTGGGAAACGGCCGGTGTGTTAATAAATAAAAATAATAATAAATATATAATAATAATAATAATAATAATAATAATAATAATAATAATAATAATAATAATAATAAAAATAATAATTAATTATAACAACAACAATGACAATAACAATAATAATATAGTGGAACTTACTTGAAGGGTCTGAGCAGCAGGTGTGTGGCATACTCTGGCAGGTGTGGGTGGTGTGTCTGCCACATCTGCCACAACTTCTCCACGAAGGAAGCCAACAAGAAGAAGAGAGGATCCAGAGGTCCGTCTGTAAGATGAGACTCCTGCGAACTTTTTGTAGGATTATGACACTCCTTTGAGTCTTATGACGGATCTATACACATCTTATGTGGACCTTCTTCAGGATGCTACCCACAACAGTCCATTGACTCCCAGGCACCTGTTTACTGCTAGGTGAGCAGGGTTAGCTGGTGTTGGAAAAACATTTAGTCTTGCCCGGAGATCGAACCCAGGTCCTTTCGGTCGTTAGCTGAATAAGATAATCGGTGAGGTAGAAGATATATTATACAATAGCACCTGTATAATACAATAAGAATATAAGAAAGTGGAAGCACTGCAGCAGGCCTACTGGCCCATACTAGGCAGGTCGTTTTCAAACCCAAACCCACTAACAAACATATTTGCTCAACCTATTTTAACTGCTAATCAAGGAATTAGCTTTCATAACCCTGCTAACTCATGCTGTGTAAGTCCCACTCAGATCCAGCCCCTCTCACTCGTGTATTTATCTAATATTGGTAGCGCACTCTGCTCACACACTGAGGTCCGGGGATCGATCCCCGGTACGGCTGGAAAAACATTAGGACGAGTTACCTTAAGACACCTGTATACCTAGCAGTAAAATGGGTACCTGGGTGTTAGTGGACTGGTGTGGATCGCATCCTGGGTGTTAGTGGACTGGTGTGGATCGCATCCTGGGACAAAACTGACCTAATTTGCGGGAAATGCTCAGCATAACAAGCAGCTTTCTATACAGCAGTATGTCATTGATGTCAACTATGGTGTGTATACCTCGTACATGTACTGGTAGTAAATGAAGATTATTATTAGTAGTAGTATTTGAAGCTACCCAACGTTTTAACTTCAGTAACCTTACTAGGCAGGTTGTTCCACTCCTCAACTAATCTATATACACAAAAGCATTTATTATGAGTGCACTAATTACGAGATGAATAATAATAATAATAATAATAATAATAATAATAATAATAATAATAATAATAAAAATAATAATAATAATAATAATAATAATAATGGAACGAATCTGTAGAAAATTAAAGGACAAATAGAGTATGTAAATGCTTTAATAAAGTCTTGAAGTTAACAAAGAGCTCTTGATTCAAGGTACTGGAGCAACTCACCCTAGGCTCCATACGAGGGAAATTATCGAGTGACTGGAGAAAGTGGTCAACTTACCCAGAGAGGCGAGAGTGCCACCTAGGGCAGTGACCACACGCGACACCTCCACCCAGAGTGCCTCAGACATGTCCTCAAAGTCGTGGTGGTTGAGTGCCAGTGCCAGGTCCACCACAGTGCCAGCCTGATGACACACAACCAACAAGTGAGACAGAAAAACAAAGCTAATTCTCTATTTTATTTCTTATTTACAATTAAAAAATATTGATATATTTTTTGCATGGCTAAAAAATATTGAAAAAAAAGTATTTTTAAGATGGGAATGTTTATATTTTTGTAGTTTGTGTATTTGTGTGTTTTTCTCATTGATAACCTGACCAGTGACTTCCTCAGTCCAATACAGAGAAGAATGGTTGACGATCAAAGGAGTTTGAGGTAAGCAGTCCCTTAGCCTGAAGTCGATGTGATGGACTGACGACATCGGCCCGAAGCTGAGGACTGATTACCTCAAACCCTCTCTCAACTCAACAATATATCAACATGTGTGATCTCTGTACCATTTATCAGCATCTCTCGTGGCTCAATTTCTCAACTCCCACAATTACAAATTCTCTGAAACCTCACTCAAACATTAACTCAGTTTTTGGGAAATTCGTTTTAAAGACGGATAATACTTGACTCACGATATTGTAGTGACACTACTGCAAACAAACCATACCACGGGTGGGGTTAGAACCCGCGATCAGTCACAAAACTCCAGACCGACGCGTTAGCCACGGTATATATCTACAACATAGGAAGGTTAGCATGGGCCATCACTGTGACCACAAATGCAAGTTTTTACAAACGAATATACCGATATATATATATATATATATTATATATATTATATATAATATATATATTATATATTATATATATATATATATATATATATATATATAATTACCTTGTGAAAACCCGCTGCCAGACGTGTGTGACTGCGTGTTGCTGCCGGGAACTTCCGCCACACGTCGTTCTCTAAGGATAATAAAAACATTAAAATGACTAATATTGTAAGTTGATGAATAATTTGTAACTCAAGAGACAGATAAACAATCTGGGAAACAGTTTACACTGTTGTGAGTCACAGTAGTTTGCCACGACACCTGAGATGTAAACTGAGGCAGTGTGTAGAACCTGTTTAAGACAGTCTGTACACTATTAAACCAGTCTGAACATTCTTAAACCAGTCTGAACATTCTTAAACCAGTCTGAACATTCTTAAACCAGTCTGAACATTCTTAAACCAGCCTGAACATTCTTAAACCAGTCTGAATATTATTAAACCAGTCTGAACATTCTTAAACCAGTCTGAACATTCTTAAATCAGTCTGAACATTATTAAACCAGTCTGAACATTATTAAACCAGTCTGAACATTCTTAAACCAGTCTGAACATTCTTAAATCAGTCTGAACATTCTTAAACCAGTCTGAACATTCTTAAACCAGTCTGAACATTCTTAAACCAGTCTGAACATTTTTTTAAACAGTCTGAACATTCTTAAACCAGTCTGAACATTCTTAAACCAGTCTGAATATTATTAAACCAGTCTGAATATTCTTAAACCAGTCTGAACATTCTTAAACCAGTCTGAACATTCTTAAATCAGTCTGAACATTATTAAACCAGTCTGAACATTATTAAACCAGTCTGAACATTCTTAAATCAGTCTGAACATTCTTAAACCAGTCTGAACATTCTTAAACCAGTCTGAACATTCTTAAACCAGTCTGAAATTCTTTAAACCAGTCTGAACATTCTTAAACCAGTCTGAATATTATTAAACCAGTCTGAACATTCTTAAACCAGTCTGAACATTCTTAAATCAGTCTGAACATTCTTAAACCAGTCTGAACATTCTTAAACCAGTCTGAACATTCTTAAACCAGTCTGAACATTCTTAAACCAGTATGAACATTCTTAAACCAGTCTGAATATTATTAAACCAGTCTGAACATTCTTAAACCAGTCTGAACATTCTTAAACCAGTCTGAACATTCTTAAACCAGTCTGAACATTCTTAAACCAGTCTGAACATTTTTAAACCAGTCTGTACATTCTTAAACCAGTCTGAGCATTCTTAAACCAGTCTGAACATTCTTAAACCAGTCTGAACATTCTTAAACCAGTCTGAACATTCTTAAACCAGTCTGAACATTCTTAAACCAGTCTGAATATTATTAAACCAGTCTGAACATTCTTAAACCAGTCTGAACATTCTTAAACCAGTCTGAACATTCTTAAACCAGTCTGAACATTCTTAAACCAGTCTGAACATTTTTAAACCAGTCTGTACATTCTTAAACCAGTCTGAGCATTCTTAAACCAGTCTGAACATTCTTAAACCAGTCTGAACATTCTTAAACCAGTCTGAACATTCTTAAACCAGTTTGAACATTCTTAAACCAGTCTGAACATTCATAAACCAGTCTGAACATTCTTAAAAAAGTCTGAACATTCTTAACCCAGTCGGAACATTCTTAAACCAGTCTGAACATTCTTAAACCAGTCTGAGCATTCTTAAACCAGTCTGAACATTCTTAAACCAGTCTGAACATTCTTAAACCAGTCTGAACATTCTTAAACCAGTTTGAACATTCTTAAACCAGTCTGAACATTCATAAACCAGTCTGAACATTCTTAAAAAAGTCTGAACATTCTTAACCCAGTCGGAACATTCTTAAACCAGTCTGAACATTCTTAAACCAGTCTGAGCATTCTTAAACCAGTCTGAACATTCTTAAACCAGTCTGAACATTATTAAACCAATCTGAACATTCTTAAACCAGTCTGAATATTATTAAACCAGTCTGAACATTATCAAACCAGTCTGAACATTCTTAAACCAGTCTGAACATTCTTAAACCAGTCTGAAGATTATTAAACCAGCCTGAACATTCTTAAACCAGTCTGAATATTATTAAACCGGTCTGAACATTATCAAACCAGTCTGAACATTCTTAAACCAGTCTGAACATTCTTAAACCAGTCTGAACATTCTTAAACCAGTCTGAACATTATTAAACCAGTCTGAACATTCTTAAACCAGTCTGAACATTATTAAACCAGTCTGAACATTATTAAACCAGTCAGAACATTCTTAAACCAGTATGAATATTATTAAACCAGTCTGAACTTTATTAAACCAGTCTGAGCATTCTTAAACCAGTCTGAACATTATTAAACCAGTCTGAACATTATTAAACCAGTCTAAACATTATTAAACCAGCCTGAATATTCTTAGACCAGTCAGAAGATTCTTAAACCAGTCTGAACATTATTAAACCAGCCTGAATATTCTTAGACCAGTCAGAAGATTCTTAAACCAGTCTGAACACCTACTTACTCCTACTGGATTTGGGCGTGAGTGGTGATTAAGGACACACCTGCGAGGTTGTGGGCGTGAGTGGTGATTAAGGACACACCTGCGAGGTTGTGGGCGTGGGTGGTGATTAAGGACACACCTTCGAGGTTGTGGGCGTGGGTGGTGATTAAGGACACACCTGCGAGGTTGTGGGCGTGGGTGGTGATTAAGGACACACCTGCGAGGTTGTGGGCGTGGGTGGTGATTAAGGACACCTGCGAGGTTGTGAGCGTGGGTGGTGATTAAGGACACACCTGCGAGGTTGTGGGCGTGGGTGGTAATTAAGGACACACCTGCGAGGTTGTGGGCGTGGGTGGTGATTAAGGACACACCTGCGAGGTTGTGGGCGTGGGTGGTGATTAAGGACACACCTGCGAGGTTGTGGGCGTGAGTGGTGATTAAGGACACACCTGCGAGGTTGTGGGCCGTGGGTGGTGATTTAGGACACACCTGCGAGGTTGTGGGCGTGGGTGGTGATTAAGGACACACCTGCGAGGTTATGGGCGTGGGTGGTGATTAAGGACACACCTGCGAGGTTGTGGGCGTGGGTGGTGATTAAGGACACACCTGCGAGGTTGTGGGCGTGGGTGGTGATTAAGGACACACCTGCGAGGTTATGGGCGTGGGTGGTGATTAAGGACACACCTGCGAGGTTGTGAGCGTGGGTGGTGATTAAGGACACACCTGCGAGGTTGTGGGCGTGGGTGGTGATTAAGGACACACCTGCGAGGTTGTGGGCGTGGGTGGTGATTAGGACACACTGCGAGGTTGTGGGCGTGGGTGGTGATTAAGGACACACTGCGAGGTTGTGGGCGTGGGTGGTGATTAAGGGACACGCCTGCGAGGTTGTGGGCGTGGGTGGTGATTAAGAACACACCTGCGAGGTTGTGGGCGTGGGTGGGTGATTAAGGACACACTGCGAGGTTGTGGGCGTGAGTGGTGATTAAGGACACACCTGCGAGGTTGTGGGCGTGGGTGGTGATTAAAAACACCTGCGAGGTTGTGGGCGTGGGTGGTGATTAAGGACACACCTGCGAGGTTGTGGGCGTGGGTGGTGATTAAGGACTCACCTGCGAGGTTGTGGGCGTGGGGTGGTAATTAAGGACACACCTGCGAGGTTGTGGGCGTGGGTGGTGATTAAGGACAACCTGCGAGGTTTGTGGGCGTGGGTGGTGATTAAGGACACACCCGCGAGGTTTGTGGGCGTGGGTGGTGATTAAAAACACCTGCGAGGTTGTGGGCGGTGGGTGGTGATTAAGGACACACCCGCGAGGTTGTGGGCGTTGGTGGTGATTAAGGACACACCTGCGAGGTTGTGGGCGTGGGTGGTGATTAAGGACATACTGCGAGGTTGTGGGCGTGGGTAGTGATTAAGGACACACCTGCGGGTTGTGGGCGTGGGTGGTGATTAAGGACACACCTGCGAGGTTGTGGGCGTGGGTGGTGATTAAGGACGCACCTGCGAGGTTGTGGGCGTGGGTGGTGATTAAGGACACACCTGCGAGGTTGTGGGCGTGGGTGGTGATTAAGGACACACCTGCGAAGTTGTGGGCGTGGGTGGTGATTAAGGACACACCTGCGAGGTTGTGGGCGTGGGTGGTGATTAAAAACACCTGCGAGGTTGTGGGCGTGGGTGGTGATTAAGGACACACCTGCGAGGTTGTGGGCGTGAGTGGTGATTAAGGACACACCCGGGAGGTTGTGGGCGTGGGTGGTGATTAAAGACACACCTGCGAGGTTGTGGGCGTGGGTGGTGATTAAGGACACACCTGCGAGGTTGTGGGCGTGGGTGGTGATTAAGGACACACCTGCGAGGTTGTGGGCGTGGGTGGTGATTAAGGACACACCTGCGATGTTGTTGGCTTGGGTGGTGATTAAGGACACACCTGCGAGCTTGTGGGCGTGAGCGGTGATTAAGGACACACCTGCGAAATTGTGGGCGTGGGTGGTGATTAAGGACACACCTGCGAGGTTGTGGGCGTGGGTAGTGATTAAGGACACACCTGCGAGGTTGTGGGCGTGGGTGGTGATTAAGGACACACCTGCGAGGTTGTGGGCGTGGGTGGTGATTAAGGACACACCTGCGAGGTTGTGGGCGTGGGTGGTGATTAAGGACACACCTGCGAGGTTGTGGGCGTGGGTGGTGATTAAGGACACACCTGCGAGGTTGTGGGCGTGAATGGTGATTAAGGACACACCTGCGAGGTTGTGGGCGTGGGTGGTGATTAAGGACACACCTGCGAGGTTGTGGGCGTGGGTGGTGATTAAGGACACACCTGCGAGGTTGTGGGCTTGTGGGTGGTGATTAAGGACACACCTGCGATGTTGTGGGCGTGGGTGGTGATTAAGGACACACCTGCGAGGTTGTGGGCGTGGGTGGTGATTAAGGACACACCTGCGAGGTTGTGGGCGTGGGTGGTGATTAAGGACACACCTGCGAGGTTGTGGGCGTGGGTGGTGATTAAGGTCACACCTGCGAGGTTGTGGGCGTGGGTGGTGATTAAGGACACACCTGCGAGGTTGTGGGCGTGGGTGGTGATTAAGGACACACCTGCGAGGTTTGTGGGCGTGGGTGGTAAATTTAAGGGCACACCTGCGAGGTTGTGGGCGTGGATAGTGGTTAAGGACACACCTGCGAGGTTGTGGGCGTGGGTGGTGATTAAGACACACTTGTGAGGTTGTGGGCGTGGGTGGTGATTAAGGACACATCTTCGAGGTTGTGGGCGTGGGTGGTGATTAAGGACACACCTGCGATGTTGTGGGCGTGGATGGTGGTTAAGGACACACCTGCGAGGTTGTGGGCGTGGGTGGTGATTAAGGACACACCTGCGAGGTTGTGGGCGTAGGTGGTGATTAAGGACACACCTGCGAGGTTGTGGGCGTGGATGGTGGTTAAGGACACACCTGCGAGGTTGTGGGCGTGGGTGGTGATTAAGGACACACTTGCGAGGTTGTGGGCGTGGGTGGTGATTAAGGACACACCTTCGAGGTTGTGGGCGTGGGTGGTGATTAAGGACACACCTGCGAGGTTGTGGGCGTGAGCGGTGATTAAGGACACACCTGCGAGGTTGTGGGCGTGGGAGGTGATAAAGACACACCTGCGAGGTTGTGGGCGTGGGTGGTGATTAAGGACACACCTGCGAGGTTGTGGGCGTGGATGGTGGTTAAGGACACACCTGCGAGGCTGTGGGCGTGGGTGGTGATTAAGGACACACCTGCGGGGTTGTGAGCGTGAGTTGTGATTAAGGACACGCCTGCGAGGTTGTGGGCGTGGGTGGTGATTAAGGACACACCTGCGAGGTTGTGGTCGTGGGTGGTGATTAAGGACACACCTGCGAGGTTGTTGGCGTGGGTGGTGATTAAGGACACACCAGCGAGGTTGTGGGCGTGGGTGGTGATTAAGGACACACCTGCGAGGTTATGGGCGTGGGTGGTGATTAAGGACACACCTGCGAGGTTGTGGGCGTGGGTGGTGATTTTAAAGGACACACCTGCGAGGTTGTGGGCGTGGATGGTGGTTAAGGACACACTTGCGAGGTTGTGTTCGTGGGTGGTGATTAAGGACAAACCTTCGAGGTTGTGGGCGTGGGTGGTGATTAAAGACACACCTGCGAGGTTGTGGGCGTGGGTGGTGATTAAGGACACACCTGCGAGGTTGTGGGCGTGGATGGTGATTAAGGACACACCTGCGAGGTTGTGGGCGTTGGTGGTGATTAAAGACACACCTGCGAGGTTGTGGGCGTGGGTGGTGATTAAGGACACACCTTCGAGGTTGTGGGCGTGAGTGGTGATTAAGGACACACCTGCGAGGTTGTGGGCGTGGGTGGTGTAGTCCCAGTAAGGTAGTGTTAGCTGACAGCCGCCCACTCGCTGAAGTTCCGCCTCCACCGCCCGCACTGCCGCCCTGTTGACACCCAGCCACCCACGAGGATGGTGGGCGGCCATGATGTGGGTGGCATAAGCCAGGGTGAAGTTGTGCAGCCACCCACCTGTGTCCGGTGAACAAGGAAGTTAACTTGTAGGTGAACAAGGAAGTTAACTTGTAGGTGAACAAGGAAGTTAACTTGTGGATAAACAAGTTAGTTAACTTGTAGGTGAACAATGAAGTTAACTTGTAGGTGAACAAGGAAGTTAACTTGTAGGTGAACAATGAATTAAACTTTTAGGTGAACAATGAAGTTAACTTGTAGGTGAACAATGAAGTTAACTTGTAGGTGAACAAGGAAGTTAACTTGTGGATAAACAAGTTAGTTAACTTGTAGGTGAACAATGAAGTTAACTTGTAGGTGAACAAGGAAGTTAACTTGTAGGTGAACAATGAAGTTAACTTGTAGGTGAACAATGAAGTTAGCTTGTAGGTGAACAATGAAGTTAACTTGTAGGTGAACAAGGAAGTTAACTTGTGGATAAACAAGTTAGTTAACTTGTAGGTGAACAATGAAGTTAACTTGTAGGTGAACAAGGAAGTTAACTTGTAGGTGAACAATGAAGTTAACTTGTAGGTGAACAAGGAAGTTAACTTGTAGGTGAACAATGAAGTTAACTTGTAGGTGAACAATGAAGTTAACTTGTAGGTGAACAATGAAGTTAACTTGTAGGTGAACAAGGAAGTTAACTTGTAGGTGAACAATGAAGTTAACTTGTAGGTGAACAAGGAAGTTAACTTGTAGGTGAACAATGAAGTTAACTTGTAGGTGAACAATGAAGTTAACTTGTAGGTGAACAATGAAGTTAACTTGTAGGTGAACAAGGAAGTTAACTTGCAGGTGAACAAGGAAGTTAACTTGTGGATAAACAAGTTAGTTAACTTGTAGGTGAACAATGAAGTTAACTTGTAGGTGTACAATGAAGTTAACTTGTAGGTGAACAAGGAAGTTAACTTGTAGGTGAACAAGGAAGTTAACTTGTGTGTGAACAAGGAAGTTAACATGTGGGTGAACAAGGAAGTTAACTTGTAGGTGAACAAGGAAGTTAACTTGTGGGTGAACAAGGAAGTTAACTTGTAGGTGAACAAGGAAGTTAACTTGTGTGTGAACAAGGAAGTTAACTTGTGTGTGAACAAGGAAGTTAACTTGTAGGTGAACAAGGAAGTTAACTTGTGTGTGAACAAGGAAGTTAACTTGTGTGTGAACAAGGAAGTTAACTTGTGGGTGAACAAGGAAGTTAACTTGTGGGTGAACAAGGAAGTTAACTTGTAGGTGAACAAGGAAGTTAACTGGTAGGTGAAGAAGGAAGTTAACTTGTGGGTGAACAAGGAAGTTAACTTGTAGGTGAACAAGGAAGTTAACTCGTAGGTGAACAAGGAAGTTAACATGTGGGTGAACAAGGAAGTTAACTTGTAGGTGAACAAGGAAGTTAACTTGTGTGTGAGCAAGGAAGTTAACTTGTGTGTGAACAAGGAAGTTAACTTGTAGGTGAACAAGGAAGTTAACTTGTGTGTGAACAAGGAAGTTAACATGTGGGTGAACAAGGAAGTTAACTTGTAGGTGAACAAGGAAGTTAACTTGTGTGTGAACAAGGAAGTTAACTTGTGGGTGAACAAGGAAGTTAACTTGTGGGTGAACAAGGAAGTTAACATGTGGGTGAACAAGGAGTGGATCTTACTGGAGAGGAGCTGCTGGAAGGTCTGGCTCAGCTGCTGCAGAAGTTGTGGGTGTAAGCTGGTCACTTCCTGACGTGTTCCTCCTCCAGCTGCTGACCTACACTCACACCCTCCTGCAACACTCAGGCAACATGTGTCATCATAGTGATGTAATGTGTCATAATAGTGATATGATGTGTCATAATAGTGACATGATGTGTCAATAGTGATATAATGTCATACGCTGATGAGTGACACAAGTGCCACAAACACTGGTGAATGTCACAAGTGTCACAAACACTGGTGAGTGTCACAAGTGTCACAAACACTGGTGAGTGTCACAAGTGTCACAAACACTGGTGAGTGTCACAAGTGTCACAAACACTGGTGAGTGTAACACGTGACACAAACACTGGTGAGTGTCACAAGTGACACGAACACTGGTGAGTGTCACAAGTGTCACAAACACTGGTGAGTGTCACAAGTGACACAAACACTGGTGAGTGTCACAAGTGACACAAACACTGGTGAGTGTCACAAGTGACACAAACACTGGTGAGTGTCACAAGTGACACGAACACTGGTGAGTGTCACAAGTGTCACAAACACTGGTGAGTGTCACAAGTGACACAAACACTGGTGAGTGTCACAAGTGACACAAACACTGGTGAGTGTCACAAGTGACACAAACACTGGTGAGTGTCACAAGTGACACAAACACTGGTGAGTGTCACAAGTGACACGAACACTGGTGAGTGTCACAAGTGACACAAACACTGGTGAGTGTCACAAGTGTCACAAACACTGGTGAGTGTCACAAGTGACACAAACACTGGTGAGTGTCACAAGTGACACAAACACTGGTGAGTGTCACAAGTGACACGAACACTGGTGAGTGTCACAAGTGACACAAACACTGGTGAGTGTCACAAGTGTCACAAACACTGGTGAGTGTCACAAGTGACACAAACACTGGTGAGTGTCACAAGTGACACAAACACTGGTGAGTGTCACAAGTGTCACAAACACTGGTGAGTGTCACAAGTGACAAACACTGGTGAGTGTCACAAGTGACACCCAGCAGCCAGGATGATCAATCAAGAAGTCTTGGGGAATCCAGGTACATGTACCTGGATGGAGGGTGGAGGGTGGAGGGTGGAGGGTGGAGGGTGGAGGGTGGAGGATGGAGGGTGGAGGGTGGAGGGTGGAGGATGGAGGGGAAGAGGAATGGACTTACCTGGCAAGTGGAGTAGCGGTGGAGGCTCGAGGGATGAGGAGTTGGGAGAGTAAGACACCAGCATCACATCCTCAGCAGTGCCCAGGATGGCACACTCCTCCATTGTACCTTCCTGAGGGGAATGCCAGGCAGTGCCACCTGTTATCTTAAGGTTATCCGGGGAAGTAACACTCTGCTATGTTATAATATAACCTGGTTATCATAGTCTAGACAGGTTATCACTGTCTAGTTATCTTCCCAGGAGAATCATTTAATTCTTGCATTTACTGCCTATCTAACTTGAAATATAATGGATTAAAGTATTGTTGAATTATACCAACTAAGTGAGCAGCCATAATGTGGAGGAATGAGACTCTTGGGAAACATCTGGGAAATTTTACTGAGGAAACGTTTCGCCAGGCATTGGCTACATCAGTCCAAGATGAGTTTGAAGTTATCAGTCCCTCACTCTGGAGTAAATGTGTTGATTCTATCGAGACTGATGGACTCAACACTCCAGGATGAGGGACTGATTACCGTTCTTCTCTGTATTGCACTGAAGAAAGCCACTGGCTAGCGTTTTCTCAGTACAAATTCCCAAATGTTACTCATCTGTCTCATTCTATCAACTTGTTGGCTTTCTAGAGTGTTTTCATCACAGCCACAATATACCTCGTGTACTGGATAGGTTTCAAACCTGGTTGCAAGAGGTGTAGTACCTAGGTACGTACCATGCAGGAGGGAGTGTCGGTGCTAGCAAGTGCTGGTACCACACAGCACACACCCAGGGTGCAGTAGCTCTCACACTCGCTCTCAGAAGAGTACGCCATCTCTGCCTCGCTCTCACACACTGTAACAGAGAGAGTCTAGAGTGAGTGTTAGTGTCAGGAACAGGAGAGAGAGAGAGAGAGAGAGAGAGAGAGGAGAGAGAGAGAGGAGAGAGAGAGAGAGAGGTTAAGTGAGGAAGGAGTATTTTAATCAAATAGAAGGAAGATAGTATTTGAAAACGACAGTGTCTGGCATTTTAACACCTGGCAGTAGTTACCAAACATTACTGTCACCTCCCCACACTACTGTCACCTCCCCACACTACTGTCACCTCCCCACACTACTGTCACCTCCCCACACTACTGTCACCTCCCCACACTACTGTCACCTCCCCACACTACTGTCACCTCCCCACATTACTGTCACCTCCCCACATTACTGTCACCTCCCCACACTACTGTCACCTCCCCACACTACTGTCACCTCCCCACATTACTGTCACCTCCCCACACTACTGTCACCTCCCCACACTACTGTCACCTCCCCACACTACTGTCACCTCCCCACACTACTGTCACCTCCCCACATTACTGTCACCTCCCCACATTACTGTCACCTCCCCACACTACTGTCACCTCCCCACACTACTGTCACCTCCCCACATTACTGTCACCTCCCCACACTACTGTCACCTCCCCACACTACTGTCACCTCCCCACACTACTGTCACCTCCCCACACTACTGTCACCTCCCCACATTACTGTCACCTCCCCACATTACTGTCACCTCCCCACACTACTGTCACCTCCCCACACTACTGTCACCTCCCCACATTACTGTCACCTCCCCACACTACTGTCACCTCTCCACACTACTGTCACCTCCCCACACTACTGTCACCTCCCCACACTACTGTCACCTCCCCACACTACTGTCACCTCCCCACACTACTGTCACCTCCCCAAACTACTGTCACCTCCCCACACTACTGTCACCTCCCCACACTACTGTCACCTCCCCACACTACTCTGCTGTCACCTCCCCACACTACTGTCACCTCCCCACACTACTCTACTGTCACCTCATCACACTACTGTCACCTTCCCACACTACTGTCACCTCCCCACACTACTGTCACCTCCCCACACTACTCTACTGCCACCTCCCCACGCTATTCTACTGTCACCTCATCACACTACTGTCACCTCCCAACACTACTGTCACCTCCCCACACTACTGTTACCTCCCCAAACTACTGTCACCTCCCCACACTACTCTGCTGTCACCTCCCCACACTACTGTCACCTCCCCACACTACTCTACTGCCACCTCCCCACGCTACTCTACTGTCACCTCATCACACTACTGTCACCTCTCCACACTACTGTCACCTCCCCACACTACTGTTACCTCCCCACACTACTGTCACCTCCCCACACTACTCTGCTGTCACCTCCCCACACTACTCTACTGCCACCTCCCCACGCTACTCTACTGTCACCTCATCACACTACTGTCACCTCCCCACACTACTCTACTGTCACCTCCCCACACTACTGTCACCTCCCCACACTACTGTCACCTCCCCATACTACTGTCACCTCCACACACTACTCTACTGTCACTCCCCACACTACTGTCACCTTCCCACACTACTGTCACCTCCCCACACTACTCTACTGTCACCTCCCCACACTACTCTACTGTCACCTCCCCACACTACTCTACTGTCAACTCCCCACACTACTGTCACCTCCCCACACTACTGTCACCTCCCCACACTACTCTACTGTCACCTCCCCACACAACTCTACTGCCACCTCCCCGCACTACTGTCACCTCCCCGCACTACTGTCACCTCCCCACACTACTCTACTGTCACCTCTCCACACTACTCTACTGTCACCTCCCACACTACTCTACTGTCACCTCCCCACACTACTCTACTGTCACCTCCCCACACTACTGTCACCTCCCCACACTACTGTCATCTCCCCACACTACTCTACTGTCACCTCCCCACACTACTCTACTGTCACCTCCCCACACTACTGTCACCTCCCCACACTACTGTCACCTCCCCACACTACTCTACTGTCACCTCCATACACTACTCTACTGTCACCTCCCCACACTACTGTCACCTCCCCACACTACTGCCACCTCCCCACACTACTCTACTGTCACCTCCCCACACTACTCTACTGTCACCTCCCCACACTACTGTCACCTCCCCACACTACTGTCACCTCCCCACACTACTGTCACCTCCCCACACTACTGTCACCTCCCCACACTACTCTACTGTCACCTCCCCACACTACTACCACCTCCCCACACTACTGTCACCTCCCCACACTATTGCCACCTCCCCACACTACTCTACTGTCACCTCCCCACACTACTCTACTGTCACCTCCCCACACTACTGCCACCTCCCCACACTACTCTACTGTCACCTCCCCACACTACTGCCACCTCCCCACACTACTCTACTGTCACCTCCCCACACTACTGTAACCTCCCCACACTACTCTACTGTCACCTCCCACACTACTGCCACCTCACCACACTACTGCCACCTTCCCACACTACTGTCACCTCCCCACACTACTGTCACCTCCCACACTACTGTCACCTCCCCACACTACTGTCACCTCCCCACACTACTGTCACCTCCCCACACACCTGTCACCTCCCCACACTACTGTCACCTCCCCACACTACTGTCACCTCCCCACACTACTGTCACCTCCCCACACTACTGTCACCTCCCCACATACTGTCACCTCCCCACACTACTGTCACCTCCCCACACTAATGTCACCTCCCCACACTACTGTTACCTCCCAACACTACTGTCACCTCCCCACACTACTGTCACCTCCCCACACTACTGTCACCTCCCCACACTACTGTCACCTCCCCACACTACTGTCACCTCCCCACACTACTTTCACCTCTCCACACTACTGTCACGTCCTCACACTACTGTCACCTCCCCACACTACTGTCACTCCCCACACTACTGTCACCTCCCCACACTACTGTCACCCACTCCACCCCACACTACTGTCACCTCCCCACACTACTGTCACCTCCCCACACTACTGTCACCTCCCCACACTACTGTCACCTCCCCACACTACTGTCACCTCCCCACACTACTGTCACCTCCCCACACTACTGTCACCTCCCCACACTACTGTCACCTCCCCACAACTACTGTCACCTCCCCACATACTGTCACCTCCCCACACTACTGTCACCTCCCACACTACTGTCACCTCCCCACATTACTGTCACCTCCCCACACTACTGTCACCTCCCCACACTACTGTCACCTCCCCACACTACTGTCACCTCCCCACACTACTGTCACCTCCCCACACTACTCTACCTCAACCTTTAATTTACAAGCAACAGAAGGTAGCAACTGTCATTACTGTCATACTTCGTATACTGACCTTACATATGGATACTGACCTTACATATGGATACTGACCTTACATATGGATACTGACCTTACATATGGATACTGACCTTACATATGGATACTGACCTTACATATGGATACTGACCTAACATATGGATACTGACCTTACATATGGATACTGACCTTACATATGGATACTGACCTTACATATGGATACTGACCTTACATATGGATACTGACCTTACATATGGATACTGACCTAACATATGGATACTGACCTTACATATGGATACTGACCTTACATATGGATACTGACCTTACATATGGATACTGACCTTACATATGGATACTGACCTTACATATGGACACTGACCTTACATAGGGATACTGACCTTACATATGGATACTGACCTAACATATGGATACTGACCTTACATATGGATACTGACCTTACATATGGATACTGACCTTACATATGGATACTGACCTTACATATGGATACTGACCTTACATAAGGATACTGACCTTACATATGGATACTGACCTAACATATGGATACTGACCTTACATGTGGATACTGACCTTACATATGGATACTGACCTTACATATGGATACTGACCTTACATATGGATACTGACCTTACATATGGATACTGACCTTACATATGGATACTGACCTTACATATGAATACTGACCTTATATATGGATACTGACCTTACATATGGATACTGACCTTACATATGGATACTGACCTTACATATGGATACTGACCTTACATATGGATACTGACCTTACATATGGATACTGACCTAACATATGGATACTGACCTTACATATGGATACTGACCTTACATATGGATACTGACCTAACATATGGATACTGACCTTACATATGGATACTGACCTTACATATGGATACTGACCTTACATATGGATACTGACCTTACATATGGATACTGACCTTACATATGGATACTGACCTTACATATGGATACTGACCTAACATATGGATACTGACCTTACATATGGATACTGACCTTACATATGGATACTGACCTATCATATGGATACTGACCTTACATATGGATACTGACCTTACATATGGATACTGACCTTACATATGGATACTGACCTTACATATGGATACTGACCTAACATATGGATACTGACCTTACATATGGATACTGACCTTACATATGGATACTGACCTTACATATGGATACTGACCTAACATAAGGATACTGACCTTACATATGGATACTGACCTTACATATGGATACTGACCTTACATATGGATACTGACCTTACATATGGATACTGACCTAACATATGGATACTGACCTTACATATGGATACTGACCTTACATATGGATACTGACCTTACATATGGATACTGACCTTACATATGGATACTGACCTTACATATGGATACTGACCTTACATATGGATACTGACCTAACATATGGATACTGACTTTACATATGGATACTGACCTTACATATGGATACTGACCTAACATATGGATACTGACCTTACATATGGATACAGACCTTACATATGGATACTGACCTTACATATGGATACTGACCTTACATATGGATACTGACCTAACATATGGATACTGACCTTACATATGGATACTGACCTTACATATGGATACTGACCTTACATATGGATACTGACCTAACATATGGATACTGACCTTACATATGGATACTGACCTTACATATGGATACTGACCTAACATATGGATACTGACCTTACATATGGATACTGACCTTACATATGGATACTGACCTTACATATGGATACTGACCTTACATATGGATACTGACCTTACATATGGATACTGACCTTACATATGGATACTGACCTTACATATGGATACTGACCTTACATATGGATACTGACCTAACATATGGATACTGACCTTACATATGGATACTGACCTTACATATGGATACTGACCTTACATATGGATACTGACCTTACATATGGATACTGACCTTACATATGGATACTAACCTTACATATAGGTAATGACCTTGCATGTGGATACTGACCTTACATGTAGATGCTGACCTTACATGTAGATGCTGACCTTACATGTAGATGCTGACCTTACATGTGATTACTGACCTTACATGTAGATACTGACCTTACATGTGAATACTGACCTTTCATGTAGATGCTGACTTTACATGTAGATACTGACCTTACATGTAGATACTGACCTTACATGTAGATACTGATCTTACATGTAGATACTGACCTTACATGTAGATACTGACCTTACATGTAGATACTGACCTTACATGTAGATGCTGACCTTACATGTAGATGCTGACCTTACATGTGAATACTGACCTTACATGTAGATACTGACCTTACATGTGAATACTGACCTTTCATGTAGATGCTGACCTTACATGTAGATACTGACCTTACATGTAGATACTGACCTTACATGTAGATACTGACCTTACATGTAGATACTGACCTTACATGTGGATACTGACCTTACATGTAGGTACTGACCTTACATGTAGATACTGACCTTACATGTAGATACTGACCTTACATGTAGATACTGACCTTACATGTAGATACTGACCTTACATGTAGATACTGATCTTATATGTGGATACTGACCTTACATGTGAATACTGACCTTACATGTAGATACTGACCTTACATGTAGATGCTGGCCTTACATGTAGATGCTGACCTTACATGTGAATACTGACCTTACATGTAGATACTGACCTTACATGTGAATACTGACCTTACATGTAGATACTGACCTTACATGTAGATACTGACCTTACATGTAGATACTGACCTTACATGTGGATACTGACCTTACATGTAGATACTGACCTTACATGTAGATACTGACCTTACATGTGAATACTGACCTTACATGTAGGTACTGACCTTACATGTAGATACTGACCTTACATGTGGATACTGACCTTACATGTAGATACTGACCTTACATGTAGATACTGACCTTACATGTGGATACTGACCTTACATGTAGATACTGACCTTACATGTAGATACTGACCTTACATGTAGATACTGACCTTACATGTGGATACTGACCTTACATGTAGATACTGACCTTACATGTAGATACTGACCTTACATGTAGGTACTGACCTTACATGTAGATACTAACCTTACATGTAGATACTGTCCTTACATGTAGATACTGACCTTACATGTAGATACTGACCTTACATGTAGGTACTGACCTTACATGTAGATACTGACCTTATATGTAGATACTGACCTTACATGTAGGTACTGACCTTACATGTAGATACTGACCTTACATGTAGATACTGACCTTACATGTGGATACTGACCTTACATGTGGATACTGACCTTACATGTGGATACTGACCTTACATGTAGATACTGACCTTACATGTGGATACTGACCTTACATGTAGATACTGACCTTACATGTAGATACTGACCTTACATGTAGATACTGACCTTACATGTAGATACTGACCTTACATGTAGATACTGACCTTACATGTAGGTACTGACCTTACATGTAGATACTGACCTTACATGTGGATACTGACCTTACATGTAGATACTGACCTTACATGTAGATACTGACCTTACATGTAGATACTGACCTTACATGTAGATACTGACCTTACATGTAGGTACTGACCTTACATGTAGATACTGACCTTACATGTGGATACTGACCTTACATGTAGATACTGACCTTACATGTGGATACTGACCTTACATGTAGATACTGACCTTACATGTAGATACTGACCTTACATGTAGATACTGACCTTACATGTAGATACTGACCTTACATGTAGGTACTGACCTTACATGTAGATACTGACCTTACATGTGGATACTGACCTTACATGTAGATACTGACCTTGCATGTGGATACTGACCTTACATGTAGATACTGACCTTATATGTAGATACTGACCTTACATGTAGGTACTGACCTTACATGTAGATACTGACCTTACATGTAGATGCTGACCTTACATGTAGATACTGACCTTACATGTAGATACTGACCTTACATGTAGGTACTGACCTTACATGTAGATACTGACCTTACATGTGGATACTGACCTTACATGTAGATACTGACCTTACATGTGGATACTGACCTTACATGTAGATACTGACCTTATATGTAGATACTGACCTTACATGTAGGTACTGACCTTACATGTAGATACTGACCTTACATGTAGATACTGACCTTACATGTAGATACTGACCTTACATGTAGGTACTGACCTTACATGTAGATACTGACCTTACATGTAGATACTGACCTTACATGTAGGTACTGACCTTACATGTAGATACTGACCTTACATGTGGATACTGACCTTACATGTAGATGCTGACCTTATATGTAGATACTGACCTTACATGTAGATACTGACCTTACATGTAGGTACTGACCTTATATGTAGATACTGACCTTACATGTAGATACTGACCTTACATGTAGATACTGACCTTGCATGTAGATACTGACCTTACATGTGGATACTGACCTTACATGTGGATACTGACCTTATATGTAGATACTGACCTTACATGTGGATACTGACCTTACATGTGGATACTGACCTTACATGTAGATACTGACCTTACATGTAGATACTGACCTTACATGTGGATACTGACCTTACATGTGGATACTGACCTTACATGTAGATACTGACCTTACATGTGGATACTGACCTTACATGTGGATACTGACCTTACATGTAGATACTGACCTTACATGTAGATACTGACCTTACATGTAGATACTGACCTTACATGTAGTTACTGACCTTACATGTAGATACTGACCTTACATGTAGATACTGACCTTACATGTAGATACTGACCTTACATGTAGATACTGACCTTACATGTAGTTACTGACCTTACATGTAGTTACTGACCTTACATGTAGATACTGACCTTACATGTAGATACTGACCTTACATGTAGATACTGACCTTACATGTAGATACTGACCTTACATGTAGATACTGACCTTACAAAACCTTACATAAATATCTACATAGAGCTAAGATAAAGTTGTAAGGTGATCTTAAATAAAGCTCTGAACTTTTATCCACTAGATAAAGCTCTATATACAAAGTAGATAAAGCTGTAAACGGGGTAAATATAGTAGATATAGAGAGTAAACATAGTAGATAAAGAAAGAAGATATATTAGATATAGATGGTTCGTATAGAGAGTAGATATAGAGTATATAGAGACTAGATATAGAATATTTAGAGAGTAGATATAGAGAGCAGATATGCAGAATAGATATAGTAGATAAAGGTTAATATCTACATGAACCTCAGCTGTCATTCCCCATCTATCAACCCCGTCTATTACTATCCATCACCCCTCAACTTCCTCCACTCTCCTCCCCCTCCCCCTCTCCCCCTCCCCCCCTCCCCCTCCCCCCTTCCCCTCCCCCGCTCCCCTGGACTCACAGTAGGTGTGAAGGCAGGTGAAGGTGAGAGGATCCAGCTGGTACCCCTGATAACGGGAGTGTTGCTGGAGGCAGGTGGTGGAGACGGGTGCTGCCAGGTGGTGCCTGCAGGTGTGGGCGGGGTGCTGGCACCTGTCTCCTGACGTGCCAGCTGCGCATCTGCAGGTGGTGCTGCCGCCACCTGCAAGGTGGCAAGGTGTCACCTGCGTCGGCTATTTAAATGTCATTCATTGCGAGATTTGCATATTCTTAATTCATGTCTTGGAAGACATGAAGTAATTTTGATCATTTGATTAAAATGACTAAATATTTCAACTCTAATCTGTGACCCTCTTCAGAAGATGCACACATACACACGCACACACACACGCACACACACACACACACACACACACACACACACACACATGCAGTAACACAGGTACACCCACCTGGAGAAGCAATACAGGTGGCACCGTTGGCACAGTTGGAAACAGAGCAAGGGTCTTGGCACTCTGCTTGCTCAAGCACCTGACACACCACCTCCCCCATCTGTGGCACAGGTCACCAGGTCACATTAAAATGCTCAGATCACAAGTCTGATCAAAATGGGCAGGTCATTTAAATATCTACAAAGCTAAGGCATTAAAACTGGAGAGAGAGAGAGAGAGAGAGAGAGAGAGAGAGAGAGAGAGAGAGAGAGAGAGAGAGAGAGAGAGAGAGAGAGAGAGAGAGAGAGAGAGAGAGAGAGAGAGAGAGAGAGAGAGTGTATGTGTGTATATATATATGTGTGTGTGTGTGTGTGTGTGTGTGTGTGTGTGACTAATCTTTCAATATGCCCATATCCCTTTCAATCCTTTTCCAGTCCTTGTGTGTTTTTATTCTCCACATTAGTTTTGTATCATCAGCAAACAGTGACAATGTTTTCCTTAGTCTCGTCTGGTACGTCTTTCACAGGAACCAGAAACAACAGTGGCCTTAATACTGATCCTTGTGGGACCCCGCTTCTTGTTTTTTACACTCAGACATCTCTTCCTGGACGATCACTCTTTGTTGTCTTCCAGTAACTTGCTCTTGGAATCACTGAAGAACGTTCATTGTTATTTCTGCTGCACCTCGAGTTTTTGTTTCAGTTTCCAGTGAGAACAGTATCAAATGCCATCTGGCAGTCCAAGAAAATGTAATCCACCCATCCTTCCCTCTCCCGTCACACTTCCTTTTCTTTGTCATAGAACTCCAGTAGGTTGGTAAGACAAAATTTTCCATTCGTGAAGATTTTCCATTCCTAATGCTCCATGAGCTTTATCGCACCTCTTCTTAAAGCTATGTATGGATCCTGCATCCAGCACCTTCTTTTCCAAACTATTCCACTTCCTGACAACTCTGTGACTGAAGAAATACTTCCTAATATCCCTGTGACTTATCTGAGTCTTCAACTTCCAATTGTGATCCCTTGTTGCTGTGTTCCATCTCTGGAACATCCTGTCTCTGTCCACCTTATCGATTCCTCTCAGTATTTTATATGTTGTTATCATATCCTCCCCATCTCTCCTGTCCTCCAGTGTCGTCATGTCAAATTCCCTTATCCTCTAATAGTAGGATATTACCCTTAGCTCCGGGACTAGTCTCGTTGCAAACTTTTGCAATATCTCTAATTTCCTGACGTGCTTGCCCAGGTGTGGGTTTCAAACTGGTGCTGCATACTCCAGTATAGACCTGACGTATACTGTGTACATAGTCTTGAACGACTCTTTACTAAGATGTCGGAACGCTATTCTTAGGTTTGCTAGTCTCTCATATGCTGCAGCAGTTATTTGGTTGATGTGTGCCTCATGAGATACATTCGGTATTATACTCACTCCAAGATCCGTTTCCTTGAGTGAGGTTTGTAATCTTTGATCCCCTAGGCTGTATTCTGTCTGTGGCCTTCTTTACCCTTCTCCGATCATCATGCCTTTGCACTTGGCGGGGTTGAACTCCAGGAGCCAGATGCTGGACCAGGTCTGTATCCTGTCCAGATCCCTTTGTAGTCCTGCCTGGTTCTCCTCCGACTGAATTCTCCTCATTAACTTGACATCGTCTGCAAACAGGGGCACTTCTGAGTCTATTCCTTCGTTATGTCATTCACTTACACAAGAAACAGCACCGGTCTTAGGACTGACCCTTGTGGAACCCCGCTCGTCACAGGCGCCCACTCTTACAGCTCGTGACCTAGTGTGTGTGTGTGTGTGTGTGTGTGTGTGTGTGTGTGTGTGTGTGTGTGTGTGTGTGTGTGTTTGAGTGTGTGTGTATATGTGTGTGTGTGTGAGTGTGTGTGTACTCACCTAGTTGTACTCACCTAGTTGAGGTTGCGGGGGTCGAGTCCGAGCTCCTGGCCCCGCCTCTTCACTGATCGCTACTAGGCCACTCTCCCTGAACCGTGAGCTTTATCATACCTCTGCTTAAAGCTATGTATGGATCCTGCCTCCACTACATCGTTTCCCAAACTATTCCACTTACTGACTACTCTGTGGCTGAAGAAATACTTCCTAACATCCCTGTGATTCATCTGTGTCTTCAACTTCCAACTGTGTCCCCTTGTTACTGTGTCCAATCTCTGGAACATCCTGCCTTGGTCCACCTTGTCAATTCCTCTCAGTATTTTGTATGTCGTTATCATGTCCCCCCTATCTTTCCTGTCCTCCAGAGTCGTCAGGTTGATTTCCCTTAACCTCTCCTCGTAGGACATACCTCTTAGCTCTGGGACTAGTCTTGTTGCAAACCTTTGCACTTTCTCTAGTTTCTTTACGTGCTTGGCTAGGTGTGGGTTCCAAACTGTGGCCGCATACTCCAATATGGACCTAACGTACACGGTGTACAGGGTCCTGAACGATTCCTTATTAAGATGTCGGAATGCTGTTCTGAGGTTTGCTAGGCGCCCATATGCTGCAGCAGTTATTTGGTTGATGTGCGCTTCAGGAGATGTGCCTGGTGTTATACTCACCCCAAGATCTTTTTCCTTGAGTGAGGTTTGTC